CACGTTCGTGACCGGAACGGAGTATTAGTTCCATGCACGGTGCCTTTTCCTCATCCTTCGATCAGCTGCCACGTGGTATCCGCCGCAAGCATGCGAGCTTCCATCATCAGAGACGACATCGAGGAGATGGGGGTGAGTTTTCTCCACGCCCTCCCGCCACATGACGCTTCATCGACGGACTCACCTTCGGATCCACGCATCACCGAACTTCTCGACGCCTACAGCCACGTGTTCGAAGGCCCGCATGGAGTAGTACCGGATCGACCCATCCGCCACGAGATCATACTCGAGGACGGGGCCGTACCTCCGCGCGGTTGCATCTACCGAATGAGCGAGGAAGAGTTAAGTGTGCTTCGGGCACAACTCGACGACCTTCTAGGGAAAGGCTGGATTCGGCCTAGCTCATCGCCATACGGTGCTCCTGTTCTCTTCGTCCGGAAGAAGAACAAGGATTCGCGGTTGTGCATCGATTATTGCAAGCTCAACGCGCAGACGATCAGGAACGTCGACCCTCTCCCACGCATCGACGACCTTCTCGAGCGATTGGGCTACGCCCAGTTCTTCTCTAAGTTGGATCTCAAGTCAGGGTACCACCAACTCGTGATTCGCAAGGAGGATCGCWACAAGACCGCGTTCAAGACTCGGTATGGGCATTTCGAATGGCTGGTCATGCCATTTGGCCTTACGAATGCCCCAGCCACTTTCCAAGCGGCTATGACGACGGAGTTCCGACACATGCTGGATCGTTTCGTACTTATATACCTCGATGACATTCTGGTTTACAGCCGGAGTCTGGACGAGCATGTGGAACACCTGCGCACCGTTTTGGAGCGGCTACGACAGGCCAAGTACAAAGCAAACCGCGACAAGTGCGAGTTCGCACAGCAGGAGCTGGAGTACTTGGGACACTATGTGACGCCGCAAGGCATTCGTCCGCTTGCGGACAAGATCGAGGCCCTACGAGTATGGCCCGAGCCCACCAACACCACGGACGTTCGTTCATTCATCGGGTTGGCGGGCTACTATCATCAATTCATCACCGGATACTCCAGGATTACTGCACCTATGACGAGGTTACAGTCGCCAAAGGTGCCATTCGTATTCCATGACGACGCACGCCGGTCATTCCAAGCACTTAAGACGGCTATGCTCATGGCACCCGTCCTTAGCATTTATGACCCCACCCTGCCGACGCGAGTAACTATAGACGCTTCCGGCTATGGCATTGGGGCAGTCTTGGAACAGCACGACGGCGACGACTGGAACCCTGTGGAGTATTTCAGCCACAAAGTGCCTCCCATCAACTCGCTTGATGATGCAAGGAAGAAGGAGCTGCTCGCATTGGTGATGGCTCTCAAACGCTGGCGGCACTTCCTCCTTGGGCGTCGTAGGTTCACATGGATCACAGACAACAATCCATTGACCTACTACAAGACGCAGGACACGGTGAGCAGCACGATCGGACGATGGATGTACTTCATCGACCAATTTGACTTCACACCAAAGCATGTCCC